TTGTTCCTAGTGCCAAAAACTGTTCTGTATAGATTTCATGGTTGAGGATGTGCCTGATTATTCCCAGGGAAGTGCCCAATCATCCATTTGATGGTGTCCGAGCCGTGCCGGTTCGCACTAGGCACATGAACGCACAACGCACACAATCAATTTTGGGTCGGCTGTGTTTGCCAATGGTTTCTTTGATGTAATTACCTTCCTTTGATCCACGTGGTCCATATTTGTTTCTGCTGCAAGCATCTACATGGATGGTGTCATCTTGGACTGCTGAAGTCTGCCAACGCCAAGGCTTTCCAAAAACCAAACTACTACAAAATGGGGGGGCCCGGAGGCAATACTACAACAATCTACAACATGATTGCGGAATAGAGTTCCAACAAAGCGCAAGCCGTTTGTGGCTTGTGGATTCCTGTTTGCAAACTTGTTGTTCAGCAATGGCCTTCCTGCTTTCATACTTGCTACTGTCATACTAAACGACACAAATGTTGTTAAACTCTGCCACTGCCGACGCTCTCTACGAACAAGCTACACAATGGAGCGGCCCAAAAGCAATGCTACAAGGATTCCAAAAGCGAAACAGCATGCCATTTGGGGGGCTGGTTATCTTTGAACATGGTTCTCTTCCTGGTTCCATTGCTCCTGTGACGCTAGACTACATAGATGTTGTCCCAAGTTTGGGCTGATAAACTCTGCAAACGTCACGACGTCTCAAAATCCAAGTTACAAAATGGAGGGGCCCATCAGAACTGTTGCTTGTGATCTTTTGCAGTCATTCTTCTCCTGTTTTCCATATTTGTTCCTGCCAAGCTAGTGTGCATAGCCGTTGTCTTAAGTTTAGACATCGACCGCTTAGATATGAACATGGCAACATGTTATGTTCAAAGCGGAATTTCGCAAGTTTGTCGAGACAGCTGGAAAACTGCAAAATGACAGGCCCTGGCCCTGACCCAAAGAAATGACTTTGCTAGAAAATGCAGGCCACCAAGGTTAATACAGTATCTCAACACAGGGAAGGACCCTCTAAAAAGTTGGAGCTGCTCTGGCATATATGCACCAAAGGCGTTACTGCAAGTGCTGAGTTTTCACTGTAAGATTGCGTTATATGATCGAAACTTCCAGTTTGTGGTTCTGTTGGCCTTCCCAAGCAAGCTTGTCGCCTCACTGTGTTCATAGCCATGAGGATTCGGATTTGCACGCATGTTGTATACTTCAGCCGTATCAGGGACTTCAGTCCCATCCTGATATGTGATGGTCGATGTATTGTCTGTCAATTGTTAAGTTGAATGCATCTCCCATAATGATATTATCATATATTATCCAATAGTTTGGTGTCCTATAGTTTCATGTTGTAGTAAAAATTTTCAACTTCTATGTATATACAGTATGTTCTTGATCAGGTTTGTTTGAGGGCGTGTGGTCTGGTGGAGAGTCTAGCTTTAATGAGCGTAAACATGGTAGACGTGATATGATATGCGAATACTGAATAATTAACAAATACGAAGACAAAGGGATCAATATGGCCTTGAGCAAGACACCGGTTCCTCCACACAACGCAATAGGGCATGATGCGGTTTGAGGCAGTCTTAGGAAGCCCATAAATCAAACCACACCTGTCTTGGCTGCAGGCGGTTGCAAGGTCTATGTGTACTCATGCCGGTGTTGCCAGCTGGCCCCAACGGCCCGGCAAAGCAGGCGCTTTGAATGCGAAACACCCGATTTCGAACCCCAGCCTCGGCAAAGTTCTGTGCTTTGCCGCAACATAGTGTCCGTGTGTATGTGAGACACGCACGACCGTGGGTTACTCTCATCCTACTCTCTGAATTGTTCAGGGGAGGAGGACCTTTTTTCAAACCGAGGTCGCTAATTCAGAGTGACGTCGCTGACGTCGTTGTGAGTCGAACAGAGCTATGGTCATGGTCACTAGTGACGTCAGTTTCTGGCTTTGTGACTGGCAAAGGCCAGGCTTCGTCCTGATAATGTCCTTCCACCAGCTCCACTCGCGAGATAGCTTTGCCTCGGCCACCAAAAGAAGCGCCTTTTTGTGGCGAAGTGGTACACATGCACAGTGCCGGTCAAAAAAATCTGTGCAAGTCGGTGAAGCAATTTACTCGAAGGCTATCGAAGACTGTTGGTTGTCGCCTTTTCAGTCGTCTGCTCTCTCTCTCTCTCTTTTTTTCCTTCTTTCTTTCTTGCTCTCTTGTCTGTGTTGTGTGACGATCTACGACGTGGCCAACATCGTCCATTCTCTGTTTTGTAAGAACCCGGCTCGTCCATGGAATGCCCCGGTGGAGATGCTCTGCCCAGCAGCGGAAGCGAGGCCCCAACGTGGCCTTCACCGGCCCCGTCCAGCGGTTTTGCCGGTAGCGGCCCCAACAGCAAACCTGACACCATGGAGGCCAGGGGAGGTGCGTGGTAACCTGGTAGTGGCGCACCTGAGAATCTAAGCACTGTATACAATCTAAAGTAACTTTTCTGGTCTGACTCAACTGAGGCTGACTCTACTATTATATATTCCAAAAACGTCCTAGAAAAACCAATCAATCTATCCTCTTTACAGTATCCGTCAACTGAGTCTTGCCTCCGCTTTAGCCAGACTGTGTGCAACCAGCCTCCGCAGCTGCAAAGGTGTGAGATCCAAGAGTCCAACTAACCTGCTGCCTTGCCTCAGAAGCCACATCCGGGAGATGAGGTCCAGGTACACTGCTAGGATACAAAGTCTATGGAGTCTCAAGCTATATCTTGCTTCTTTCGGCCATTGACGCGTTGAAAAGAAAACCTTGGACCTGATTCCAAGCATCACGAAAGACTCTCGGAGCGGCCCTTGTCTCCCCCGACCTCCCTAGAGTGGCTTTGCATTCCAAGGCGCATAATGCATGGACGGCAAGCAGCAGGGCTTCAAAACAAACCCGACGCATTTGGGTCCACGATTGAAAGTTTCGATCGCACGAATGGAGAGGACACCTGCAGGAGCATGGAAGACTTGTGTTGTCACAGCATTTTCCACGGCAACTTTGCTTATGGCATCATCATCTTATGGTTTATGATCTTGACGACCTACGTAAGGGCTGAGAAGCTACCAGAAATCACCAGAACCTTCCCGGCAATAGTGGTCCTGTGATCCTCGTTATTCGTGAATGACGTTTCAAGACTGCATCCCGGCGCCGCCTTCAGAAGCAATGTCTCAAGTCGCAAGTGGGTAACTATAATGTTACTACAGCACGTTGAGACACATCGTCGTGAAAATTGATTGACGAAAGAGGAGGGAAAAGGAAAGGATCCATCTCTCACCATCCCAGGCACCACAAAGGTGGATCCCCAAGAGAAAGACCGGTCCAGGCGCTGGCTCCAGCAGTCCTTGGTGACCGACTCAAAAGGACAAAAAGAAATGCCTGCGCTGCGCAATGAAAAGGGAAAAAGGAAGGGCCCGGGCCAGTGCACCTTTTTGGCTCAAGCCGCCTGGACCCAAAGTCCATCAGCTCAAGGCCCTGTCCCAAAGTTCTGCTGTGGCCTCTCGCCATGAGTGGAACGTCCAACAAGAAGTTGTCACCTTGACTTGAGGTGGTTTCACCTGTTCTTTTGGTGAATCTGGGGCTTTGTATTCTACCAAGGTCCTTTGTCTCACCTTTGGATTCACTCTTGATTGGGCGTCCACTCTTTGGTCTGACGCCTGGCAGGCAAATGCATATGCAGATTCTCCATTCGGATTCCATGGCCTGTGATGCCTATGCTGTGCATAAACTTTCAGCATCTACTTTGATGAACATTTCTTGACGAAGCCAAACACGATTCTTGACTCAGTGCATGCCTTGTGCCTGCTAGTGGCCCCTCTCTTGTGCGGCAAACTCCCTGGAGGCTGCTGCTCTTGTTGTGTTTGTTTAAGTTGGGTTGCTCTGCGGAACATTGCAGAACCAATCTCTTGGGAGAGACCTTCGGCCCTGTTCTCAGCTTAATTCACACACTATGTGATATTGGCCGTGGGCGTGGGATGGCTGCTGATGACCATTTGAACCATTGAAAACCCAAAATCATCCAAATTCGATTGGGTCACTGGGTGCAGACTTAGGTGCAGCCAGGCATCTAGAAAGGATCTGTGCGTGAGTCGATGGCAATTTGAGATCACAGCGCCGTGTGACCAAGGGAATTGGCCAAGCCAGTTGGTAAATATGGTCCCAATTCCTTGGCTCTCAGTTGGGTAGATGTTGAGCCCTTTAGGGCGCCCTGATCATGCTCTGCATCCTCGATGATTTCCACAAGTGCTTGCTTGTTTTAGAGGCTGGCATCTTAAGTCTTGCGTCTCTCTGTCACACCTGTGGATGCCCATGGTTGTCTTTACTAAAGACTGAGGGCGTTACCTGATTCTTCAGAAAGCACTACACAACACATCATCCCTCCCAGTGCAGATTGGCAGTGGACAACCCCATTCTTTCTAGAGTAGTTCATGGTCTTTCTGGGGACCATGCCATGCACTTCCATTATTGTTGGCAGGAGAGTGGATATAGAGACTCCAGGGATCTCCAGGGTTGACCCACTGCCATTTACATGTCATGCAATCGAGGGACAAGCGAGTGCGACCCCTGCGGCCAGGGCTGTATTCCGATGGTTGGTTCTCGCCTGCCACAGGCCAGGGATGGGCTCAGGCTCAAGCTGCGCTGTGACGGCGCAAATCTCTCTCTCCCTCTCTCTCTCTGTCTGTCCGTTCGCCTTGCCTTTGAGTGGCCATGCCTGGTCCAAAAGTAAACACACCTCAAGGGCAGGCAATTCCATTTTGCATGCCACAACACAGCTTGATAATATATGATATTAATAATAGTTTATGGCAAGGAAATTGGATTTTGCAGCATCTCATTGAAGCCTGTGAGATGAGCTTGCGCACGTCCATGTACGACCTATGTGTGCCTTTCCTGCTAAGGTACGCAAGACTCACGATGTGTGGCACCAAAATTGAGAATTACCTGATCAGTTTGCTAAAATCTGCACGAACTGTATACGCAGCACCCACTGGAAGTTCCCAGATGTCCAATCTCAGCTCGAAGTGCTAGAGGGCCAGAGGGCTGACCAAGCCCAAAAGCAGTGTCTCAATCAACGAGGTCAAGGCGCATGAACACGCTCAGGTGGTAGAAGCTCCGAAAGGAACATGCCCAAGAAGCCCAAGCCTGAGCACAGGTCCTGAGAAGCAAAGGTCTTGTGCCCAAGCAAAACCTAAAATTGCTTGTGCCACAGGCTGCCATGTGGCCCAACAGTGGGGCACCACTTGAGTCTGACCTAAAGAACCTCGCGGGACGTTCACCCAGGTCAAGGAGCCTAGAGGAAAGCAACGCCGTCAAAAACTCGGACATCACTACACGCTACTCAATAGCTGAAACCACCTGTGACTCTTACAAGTAACTTGAGACACTTCGGCGATATCATAGGAAGACTCTTACAAGTAACTTGAGACACTTCGGCGATATCATAGGAAGATTCCTGTGAACAGGTTTGTAACCATTGTATACCTAGTTTGGATAATACAAGAGATTTGTGTAGTTCAACTCTTTTGTGACCTCGCCCAGCTGTGACTTGCTCAGATTCGACGATCGTGACTTGCCCATGTGCTTCACCCAACTCCTGAGCTTGGAGGTCCGGCTCGCAGCTTGTGATGGTACAAAGTGTGTTAGTTTAGTTGCAATTGTGGCAGTCAAGCAGCGCGGACGAAACTACTTTGACAGCAGCAACCTCCGACCACGGGGGGTCTACAAGCGCAGTCACACCTTCGAGAACACACATTAAGTGATTGCTTACGAAGTTGAGCTCTTCGAGCCTCAAATATAAATCAAGCCCTTTCGCTGTAGTACGCAGCCCAAGCTTCTCCCAAGTGCCGTATCACAAAGTCGATGACTGGGACGGCCTCCCGGGCCTCCTGGGGGGCCAAGTGGGAAACGGGTGGAGATCTGTGGGGACGGGTGATTTCATACTTATGTTACATATATGTTCATTTGTGTTCATAGTCTTTGAGGCAAGCAGCTTGTGACCCCAACACTTCTGAAGTAAACGTCTTCCTGCCTTGATCAAGGTCGAGCATTTGTCACGAGCTAAGCGTGCCTGAGAAGTCTCAACATATGAGCATTTAAATTTACATATGAGCCACAAGCTATATAATACTATATATATATATATACCATATGGTTCAAATCTCTGCTTGCCAGCATTCTCGACTGGAGGATCAAATCCTCTTGATGGATACGTCCCAAAGCCTGTGGTGCCCTTGCCTTCAATTATATAGTTGATTTTGTCGACTGAGGATTGAACATTGGATTGGAACTCTTCCAAGTCTTTACTGAGTACTGTATATTTTTTGATTTTTTGAAGGGGCATCCCATGCCTCATGCTGACATCCCATGTGTCGACCCTCTCCAAATGTCCCCAAGTGGGTCAAATGCATGGGGGGCGCGGCTGTGCAAAATTGCTCCAAGTTGCCCACAAAGGCGGATCAAAGCGCTGGCGCCAGGAGCATGCCACCTGTATGAAGCAAAACGAGGAGGTGAACAAGCACCCCTCAAGCTTAGTCTGGGAGGCGCATGGAGGAGCATCCAAGCAACACACTTGACCTCTAGACTCTAGTTAGTCTAGTGACAGTTGCGGAATCCCCCGCGTTTAGATGGTGTAGAGGCTGCTCATTTCGACTAAACCTCATTTCAACTTCTGTCTGAACCTAGTTCCAAATCCCCGAACTTTCCTATGCCCACCGGGCGACTCTACCCCTCAAGCACACGAAGCACCACCTCCGCGAGCCGTTGGCACAGGGATGGAAACCTTCGGACCGCACGCCACCGCACGCATTCAAAGCATTTCTCCAACCCAGTCCTACACAAGCCTTGCCTGTCCAGGCCTCTTGAGCCTCTTCACTGATCCTGAGGAATTGTGGTTTGGTCATTGGTGGTCTAGGCTTCCCGGCTGTTTGCCTAAGTCTCCTTCACTCAGCGCACACCGAAGCCAAACTGCGAAGTCCTGCCAAATTTAAGTGGAGCATTTGCCATGCCAATAGATTTGGAGGGTTGGCCTTCCTGTGAATTTGGCACTCTCTCACGCGTTTTGGCGGTTTGCTGTGTGTCCTCTTCATGGTCCAGCGACCTGGGCACTCCGAGTGCTTCCCGGTCACTCCCACCTCTTCGGCATTAAGTCCTCCACTTAAAGGCCGCCTACCTTGCACTTCCAAGCCGTGCTCTCTTTGAGGAGCCTTGTGTTGACAAACCTTGAACATCAATAGAAGCATTCAAACAATGCGGATGCCCAAAAGGTATGCAAAGTCTTGCCTGGACTGACCTGCGTGTGTGTGTGTGTGTGTGTGGACCATGATTGACTTGAATCACCATTGGAGGCTCGTAGAGGATAGCATAAATGCCACCAAACCAGTGCCAAATCTGCACTCAGGAACCTCAAGCCCAAGTGAGTTGTAGCCAAGCAACTGTTTCACAAGGTCAATACCTAGGCCGAAAAGGTAGTCGCGCTCCATGAGCGGCTGCCATGCCGAATCGATGACAAACTAAAACAAGGTTGCTGAGTTGATGATGATGCTCCGCAGTCAATCCACTGTTGCATGTATTTGCAACCTTCATATTGTAGTCTTGTGACTTGCACGAGAGAGGCAGTTTGCTAGCGATTGAGCCTTTTCAAATCTCAATCAACGATGCAATGCAATTCGCACAACGCTGCAACAGTGTGCAATAGCCAAAACATGCAGGTATCAGCTATAACAATTGATTACTAAAATATATACAGTACTATTCATTTGAGCACCTGCCGGTCACAGTCACAACCGAAAGAATTCTTTGGCAAAATGCACAGGACTGAATAGAACTTTCCTGGCTCTGCGTGACAAACAAACAACTTGTAACATGTTAGTCGGCATCCTGAGCAGCAAGGGACTCCTATTCTACCCACACTACAACTTTTTTTGTGCACGTACGCTTGCAGGAGTCCATCGATGGCATGCAACTCTTGCTCTGAATTATGAATCTGAATGAGCAAGCATACAAACATGATGGAAGCCTTGCCGACGCTTCAAAGAAACCCATCAGCGACTACTTATCGGTCATCACATGGGTCACAGTGCCCACCCATCCTACCCAAAGGAGTGAGGAGTGAAGCAGCGGGAGGATATTAGCGAACTCGGAATGTGTCACACCATGTCAGAATTTGGGTGGACAATAGGTTGTGGAGGAATGGATCCACATGCCAGACATACCGGGATTGGGATGGGGGTGCGTGCGGTAGTTGCCTGCTCATGTGAGGTTGGCGAACGCTCCGGAAAATCTAATCTAAGCCATGTCTAAGCTCTCAGCAAAGCTTCTGAAGCCTCGGTTTGTGGGAATCATGAATCATCAAGCAACTGGAACTGGCACCTACCCCAATTCCATGGCGCCTTACCTTGCCACTCTTGAACTTTCACCATCTGCACTGAAACAATCTACCCAAAGAAAAACATAGAAAATCCGCAATTGGGTCGATGCATAGCCAATAGCTCCGCACTGGTTGAAACAGCGCTCATGGTAACAAACGTGCCACATAATTGGACAAAGGCCCTCACTTTTGAAGGCACTTCATGGCCGTGGGCTCTGTGCTGGTCATCAAAGCCTCAGCCAAGGCATTGGAAACAGCCCCCCAGCCCCGAGGTATTCTTTAACATTCTTTAACAATAAGTTTGTCATCGAACCCTTTCCCCCGCCCATCTGGCAAGAAAGCAACCACGAACCCGAATTCACACATGTATGCAAACACACACCGCCAAACGCTATTCAACACTCTTGGTCCACACTCTTCTGGGACACGTTTGAGCGGCACTTTTGTTTGACACTCTTGCGCTGCACTCATCTACAACAAGGTTCTTGTGCCATCTTGTGCCCACACATCTCTCTCCCTCCGCGCTCTCTCTCTCTCTCTCTCTCTCTCTTTGTGGGGGGCATGACTCGGCCCAGAGTCGTCTCACAGAGACGCCCGCACATGTGGGACACTCTTGTGGCACTCTTGCTGGACACTCTTGTGTAGGACACCTTCAGACTAAAGCATCCTCTTGTGGGACATTCGTGAGCCACACTATTGCTGGACACCCTTTTGTGCAACAATGTGCAACACTGTTCTGTTGCACCATTGGGGAGCAATCGTGGCACACTCTTTTTTGGATGGAACGCTCTTGTGGGACACTTTTACAGGGCATTCTTGTGGGACACTCTTGCAGGGCACTGGGAAGTAGCAGGCTCCCTCCAAAAAAGTCACGCGTCAAGTCTGCAAAACGAGGGCGTTGGCGCTCCATTGATGCCAGCCACCCACGGGATCGAAGCATTACTTTGCAGACCTTGTTGGGCTGCACCTACGTGTTGGTGGGAGTGTAATCCATGGGAAAGATCTAAGCCTCGAAGTGGGTGCTTTTGCACAGGCATGCCAGAGTCCCAAGGTGTGAAAGGAAACGAGTTCGGGGATATTTTTGCACAGACTTCCTCTTCAAAACGAACATTTCCCACGAGACTTCCTCCAAAGTGATGTCAAGCCTTCAAAACGCACTCCGCACGAGACTTCTCGACAAGTGAAGCGGGAGGTTTCGTCAGAGCAAAAGCATCACGCGGCCCTGCCAAACAGTTCTGCAATCCAAGCCCCTCTAAAGAGCAGCCGCCGGCACGCCAATCCCAACGGCACAGTGACATTTGCCTGCACAGAGAATCGCAACGCACCTGCCACAACAATGTGGCTACGCCACACTTTGACATGTCTAGATTTTGCAGCACCGAAAAATTTCGACACATTGCTGCTTCACCCAGATCCCTCATCAAATTGTAACCTCAGCTGAGACTTGTCGCGAAAACGGAACTTCGAGGCAAGCGCTTCAAGAGCAAATCCCAACGGCATAGCAACGCCAACATCACGTTTCCACGCAATTTCACACCAATCGTATCGGACATGGTCCATCCATCCAAGACCTCTTCCACAAGCTTCCCCCAACGGCAGGACTTTATCACCCAAGACGGAGTCACACGCAGTCACGCAGAGCCTTTTCACGAAAAGCCCATACAAAAGAGGCGAACAAGGGTCTAGCCCCAAACCCTCAGACTATAAACCGGAACGCTTGGATACGCATTCGGGAAAAAGATGAAAAAGCATCACTGAGGCACACAAGGCTTCTGGGAGGGTGTCGCGTTAGAGTAGGGAAGAAGCAGAAGGAAATCCCCACACATCAATTTCAACCAGCCCAGTGCTTCTGAGTCACCCCCAAGGCCTGTTGGCCGCAAGGACCTTTTCCTTGTGTTACCTGAAAAGTGTCAGAATCTGTCAGAGATGAAGACAGTGATGAGATGCTGAGATGCGAATGTGAAGAGTCAAAAAGTCTCAAAGAGTAAGAGCCCCTTGTTACATCTTGTTAGCAGGCAGTGGAACGACGGATATGACTGCTTTGAATCATGGGTTGTGCCCAAATGCCTCCGCAAGCTTGCACAAAGCCTCAAGCGTAGGACGGCGAAGGTCAGCATGCCAGTGCTTAGCACACGTCACAAGCCTTGGCACGGGCACAGCAGCCGCGACTAAACCTCCCCTACATACCTACCTTATCCTAAAATCCCTGAATGAAGAGATTCTGAATCTCAAACTGGCAGGCCAACCCACGTCCTCTTGACGCAAGCTTCAAGCGTCCCAGCACTGCTGTCACTGCTTCCTGCCAACATGCAAGGTGACTCTGGTCGCACTCTAGCACTTTGCCAGGAAGTTTTGGGGGGGAGGTTGCACCGACACCAAATACAATACGTTGGGGTGGAATAGGGTCAACTGAAGGTTGCTGCTACGTAGGGTATCCTAGAGAAACAAGTCACCAACAATGCACGGCATCTCCTGATCCCTTGGAGACATGCGGCAGGGCTCCGCCAGCAGCTCTTGGCCTCAGTTCAATTGGCACTTCTGTGAAAAGCGACGGTGGGAGCTGCCTCCTCAAGGGGCATTACAACGATTACAATTCTAATCGAAGTAATTACATGAGTTTTCAACATAGCGAAGCAATGTGAACATCAAAGAAAGTGAAGCAAAAGCAGTTGGCAGTAAGTTTATGGCGGAGCGGGAGGTAGGATTGAAAACCCCAACATATGCCAATCGAAACAGGATACTGTTGTGCAAGTGCAAGGGGGCCTTGCAAGGACATACAAGGTCCTACCCGAGACTTGGCGCCTGAGAAGATCTGCAGCATCTTTTCTGCAGCATGAGGTGTCGGACTGTAACATCGACACGGCTGCACCAGGGATGTCAGAAAGTTTGCCGTCATTTTGATGGCGGACATGGTATGGCAAGCCACGAATTTGAAACAAAGCAGCAGTGATTCAGGGTCCTTTGCAACAACCAAGGTTTCTTTCCGGAAACAAACTCTGCATGTAAATTGGGCACTCCTTTAGAACCCTGTAGAATCATTGGACATCCGTCAAGCTGCAATATTCACGTCTCAATTCAACAAAGTGTGTTGACGAATGTTCAATGCAAACACGTAGAATGTTCCCACTATTTGCAGCTCCAGCTAAAACAGCTAGCAGTTAACAGTTGCATGCATTGGTCCAACAAATGTTGTGCTGTGGGCACGGTCGACGAGTAGAATAAACAAATACCACCTAGGTGCTTTATAAACGATGCCAACAAAGGCACCGCCTGTATGTAATTAGCCTGGAAGATTGCAGCCATCTGAAAGTCCGAAGGAAATCAATCTCCATCTTTCACGAACAGTTGTGGTGAAGCTGCGGTGACTCTCGGAAAGCTGGACTGATTAATAAGTGATGCGGCCGGTTGCTGGTGAACCGTTGAAGCCATAATCAGAGTAGAGCGTTCCACTTTCTCAATTGGGTTGACATTCTCCTGGCCGTCTCGCAATGATCAACGGCGTCTCATTTCTTTTTCATGTTTCCTCAACACTCAACGTCACTATAATTTGTATATCGCAACACGTCAAATCGGGCTTGGAAGAAGCATGAATCACACTCTTTCAAAGGATTGCATAGAAGATCATAGAAGCTTGCCTGCTCATATAAGCCTTTAGAAACCACAAGCGGGCATGCCGAGCAAAGCTCGTGACCTGCACCACGGTCTCCAAGACGGTCTTGTCAAAGCAATGAGTAGCTGCAATGACAATATGCAGTGTGGCATGGCTCAAAGGAAGAGCTCCGGACCTCAAACAGAAACACTGAGCGACAAGCCCGCAACATGTCTGCGGACATGGGCTTGGTGACTTGATCATGCTTGACCTCCCCAAATGTGCAAATGCAGCTCCTACCTATATACTGTACTCGTCATGAACAAGCTCCGAGCTTTGTGATGGCATCCAGCAGGTCAAAGGCTGCATCCTGCACTTGCTAGCATATTTCGCTACTCCGAAGGCTGCCTACGAAGCCTACTGAAGATGAATGCTTCTGACCACGCCCAAGTCTAACAAAGGACTTTGCCAGACTGACTTGCCAAATCATTGCCAAGCCCGGCTCCCATGTCATAAGATCTGATGGATTGAAGAATTCGCAGTATCTAATAGATTATGGATCTTTGAAGATCATTGCTGTCCTTCTCCTGCTTTTGGTGGTCACTAGTCAGTTGCGCTTCTGTAGGCTCAGCCAACAGTGCCTTCTGCGAGCGCTTTTTCCACGTGTTTCCTCAAGACGCCGCCACGCGGAACACTTCTAAACTGAACACTTGGACATCTGAGACTGGGACAATGTTTCTGTATTCCACAGGGGTCTTCCGAAATACAGCAAGCAACGGCTTTCATCCATCTCATGGTTCAAAGTTGCTGTATTCAAGGAACTCTAGTCTAATAGTCTAATATATGATATGGTCATATGGTCTAATATTTAAGTGTCAACGCTGAGCAGCCAATATTGATGATGGTTGGCCGCAAAGAGCTGTCTGGATCAAGCTTTTCAAATTGGGCATCCATCTCTTGTGGCACCTGGTAGCTGTAGAATGCCAGCAAGTGGACTGTCACTGGCCTTGTGCATTTGGAGTCCATTTACACATGTGTCAAGGACAAACCGACTTTGGGGTTGTGCGTGTCGTTGCTGGTCTTACCGTGGGCTCATGGCAACGCGCTGACCAGTGTGGCGATGCGCGGTCTTCGCCTGTGTGTAGTCTCGCGACTCAGTTGCACTCCCACCGAAAGACCCGACCTGATGGGGTGGCACGAGAGAAAGCTGGCAGCGGAGACTGTGAGACATGCACTGTGCCTATGTGGGCCTCTGCCATCCTCGCCAAAAGCACTCGGAATTCCAGTCCGTGTGAGAGAAATACACCCCGCAATGCAGCATTTCACCTTGGCAACTTTTTCCCAACCGCGCCTGGCTCTGTTTCTCCTGCCCAGTGTTCAGCGTATCAAAAAAATTGCGTAGTGACAGCGTAGTGCTAAGTTCCATGCGCCCGATTTGGAATTGGACCAGCATGTTCGGTTGTTCTAGGAAGACCGCCTGCCTAGGCTAGCTTTGCAGCATTAGCCCAGTGCAGAAAAGGTACGGCATGGTGTAACCATAGAAAAAAAGCGTCTTACCCAGTGTCACACACAAATGTACTGTCATCCGTTCCACACATGTTACACCGCCGGACTGAAATATAGAATGCCTGCATGTACGCTCTATGGCTTAGAATGCCTACGCTGTTTTTAACACTTAGAATGCCCGCGTTTTGCAGGCATTCTAAGTATAGTCCCGTAATGGCACCCTTGCACCCAGAGCAGGGCATTCTATTTATAGTGTTCAATCCCGGTATTATGCAGTTAGAAGTTTCTGATTCTATGGATTCTATGGTTGTCAATGGTTCTAGCTAAGGTTCTTCCAAATCCTTTTAAAGAAGCCTGGGAGAACATGGGAAAAGAAACATATGCGTTTTGGAATGTTTTGGACATATATCAATTGCGCCAACGACCAAGCCCTACGAAAGAAAACTCATCTCCTGCTTTGTCACCTTGGCTGGTCTTTCTTCCGCTGTGGACTCCTTCGGGGGATTCCCCTTCCAAGGGCCTTCCGCACTTCCGTGAGTCCACTAAAAGGAAGCAACACCAAAAACACCAAGAACTTGATGAAATCTCAGCCAAGTAAAAGCTCCACAAATTACCACACCCTTGAAAACCATCACTCCTGAGGAGGAGCTGGAGGTTCTGCCGGTGCTTCTTGCGATTGTGGCAGCGTGGTTGAATGGCTCGAAGGCGGAGGTGCTGCCGCAGCTTGTGGTGCTGCTGCGGCTTGCGGTGCAGGTGCAGGTGGTGGGATGGGCGCAGATGGTGCGCCTGCTGGACTTGCCATTCGATCCATTCGCCTAGGCCCAGGTGGCCCAGGTCCAGTATGCTTGTCCGCTTGCGCTTGTTGGGGCAAAAACTCAATGCCAACAGTGTTCCGACACGTTCCAAATAGAGCTTGCTGGTTATCTATCACTATTAGTATATAGGATGGCCGGATGGCATCGGGAATCGTGGCATTTAAGAGTTGACCTCTTGCCTCCCATGAACCGCATCGGTATTGAAACTTGAGGCTCTTCAGGCCTTTCCGACACTAACGAAACACCCGGAACCACGCATCCTGGTTGCTGCTTGGCCTTGCGCAACCGCTGAGGGGGAGCTGCCGCAACCTCGCAACACATGTCCATCTCCATCTCAGGAATTTCCTGAGCCGGACTCATCCAATGAACAGTGCGCCGGACTCATCCACTTGCAAATGCTTCATGATGTTGTTCCCAAGCACGGTGTGGTCATAAAATAAATCCGTGAAAGACTCCAAACCATTAGGCTGTGAGTCTGAACTCCCGCTGCGGCTGCCACCGAGCAAGTCATTAAGGTCAACCAATGGCGCTGAATATTGTGCCTGCTTCCGACTCTCTTCGAGCTCTTCCTGCTTCTCCTGGAGCACGAAATGTTCACAACCACCGTTTGGACGAACCTCTGTTGAACTGAAGACGGCACCAAAAAACTGTCAGAAGAAAAGGGGTGTCATCCCATCACCGTGGGTCGAATGTCTTGAAAGTTGGCTTACAACTACCTCTCTGGGTGAGGCTCATGTCCCTGGCATGTCCTGGTTGATCATATCAAACATGGCTTTGACCTGAGTGCTGGAGCTGGATCCATGGGAACCATGATTCGGTAGCTGGCTGAACACTTGCTTAAACAGGACAGGAGTGAACAACATGTCCCTCCCCCCCGAGCATTTTTGGCACGGGAGGAGACCAACAGTATCCAAAAATCACGGCAAACGACATCTGATTGGAGATGACGTGCTCATCTTCTGCCAGGTCACATGACCCCGCACAGCGCCTAGTCTTGCAGGAGCTGCGGTCACTGTCTCAGAGACACCCTCCTCTTCGCTGAAGGAGAGCAAATCGCTCGGGATCTGATACTTCCTCAGGTCAGTGACGCAGCAACGGGTGGGTTACAATGGCTTGCCTCTTTATACCTTGGGGTCCAACATGTCAGGCCGCTGACCTACAAAGCGTTTCAGGTGCTCGGTGCTGGGGCGCGCTGGATTTAACTTGCAACCCATATTAACAGTAAGTGCACACAACCAGCTCAACCCAATTGCAGCTGAGCTGCAAGAATAGCTCCATCAAATCCTGCGTGAGCTTGATCTCCTGTGGTGTTTAATGGCTGAGATCGCTGTGGGTTGTGGGCCCTGCCCGGGTACTCTTCCCCTCCATTTCAACTTGGGACACCTCGCCATGTAATTGGTACAGTCTTGCACACTCATTGCATGTGTCTGAATGTCTCACAAGGCATTCTACAAGGCAAGCTCAGTGCAGAAACTGACATAGCAGGTGAAAAAAAGCTCCTAACAGTCTTGGGCGTTGACAAGACCATCGATAGTGCCACAAAAGATTACAATCAAGTATATAATCTGCTTGCACCAGCCCCCGAAGAGGTAAACGAGGTAGGCAACTGTAACTAAAGGCCCCTACTACTCTGTAAGATGTGTAATTATTGCACGTTGTGGCACATAGGCAGCTCCTTGGTGAGGCTATCATCTGGCAAATTCAGTAGTTTCTCCAGCTGTGGCTTGATCTGAACCACCAAAACTCCGAAGAGTGTGCTCTCCTGCGCAACGCTACGACATGCGATGACACCTCTTGCTGTATATCGTTCCCAATCAGCAGGGAAACCGGGAACCGTGACTCCAAAACATCACCATACAGTAGATAGAAGGCAAATAATGGCAGTGTGTCAACCTCTGAACCCCCCTAAAGATCCCTAGGATCATAACAAATGGAGGCACACTTCGCACACTGGAACGGCACATACATACAGCATTCATTCAAAAGCATGGACTGATGCTGAGCTTCGTGCTCCTGCTCAACAGGAAGACACAAGTGTCAAATCTCTCAGTTCGGCATTTTGACTTTAGGTTCTGAAGGCAGGACAATAATCCACCAATAGCAGTGTCAGAACAGTCGGGTAGGCCACGGCCCTTTACCTCCGCCGAGCGTCTAGCTGCATGGCACGGAAGGCTTTAGCAAACTGTTGTTGTTCTGGGGAGAGTGAAGCAATAGCATCCTTGAACTCCTCAGCAAGCAGGAGCTTTCGCGGGCTGAGCCGATTGGAGAAGTAACTATCAGCGGGCATGGGCTGAAATTTGAGGATCTGTCAACCGGAATGAGCCTTCTAGATGGGCCTTCGGACAGTTTTCGAGGTCCACAGTTGAGACATATGGAGACACATTGCATGACATTTGGCAAGGAATGCCCGCCTTGGGCGTAGGGATCACTGACATCTCCAGTGGGATCGTCAATTCATCCTGCGTGCTCGCAGGTGTGTCTGTGTATGTGATCGCAATTGCCATTCTGCCTATGCTTACTTCTTCTAGGTCATCTTGACTGCAAATGCCTTGCCCAGTACAGCTTCTCCCGGGCACCTTGTATCTCAAGACACTCTTTCACTGCTATACTGTGGCTATACTGCTCCTCTCCGTGAGCCCTTGAACCCTGCTGAATCATGCTGGGTCCCGCCGATCCTTGTTCTGGATGATTGCCGCATATGTAGGGTCGAACGATGTTGCGGAAGTGACACGCCCCACAAGCACCAGCATGGAACTGAATTGCCTCGGGCAGCATCAGGCTGTCAAAAGAAAGCACCGGGCTCAGCTGGCGCAATTGACAAAACAGGAATCATACAGAAGCTCATCTTGTGCTCGGAGTTTTCCGTCCCTCGTGCCTTGCTCTAGCCTTCAAGAAGAGCCCAGACCCAGTCTGTCCAGAAAAGCTATGGCAAAGCCAGCCATGCAAGTGCACGGGTCCCGTGAAAGATACAGTCGTCGAAGCACTCAATGGGAAGGACATTGCCTCAGCACACCGTCGTGTCTCTTCAATCGTGACATTTTGCTGCACATGCACAGAACATCATGCTCTAATCCACCCACCCGCCCCGAACTCTTGGCCCTCCAGCACGGGCCCAAAACACAAACTCGTCCAGCGCCCAGCGGCTGTGGGCGTGCTCCCGTGGTTTTCCAACGTGACGATCGGAGTATGCATGAGACTCCCAGCGTCGCCAAAGGTCTCCTCCTCGATGCTCACGGTTCCCTCTGGCCCATGCTGCTCGGAGCGGCGGACGGCGAAGCAGAATTGGCTGGGCCTGACTGGCCAAATGGTGAGTTCTGGAGATTCTAGAGGCACCAGGTTTAACCGTTGCTGGATCATTTTTGATACATGACTCACTCACATGGAAGTGGAATGGTCCCTTGGGAGACTACTTTCCTCTACGAACAGGAGATTTTCCACGTCCATGTTTGTGAGAATGTTTGGCATGTTCTGGGATTGGAGGCAACCTAGCAAACAGGGGTGGACCTACAAGGATCTACAAGGATTACAATTTGTCAGGCTCAGTCAGGCCACTGGTAGGCATCGAGGAAGAGCTTTCGGTAGTGGAAGCGCATGTAAGACCTTTGGCAACACCAAGCCAAAACGGAATAGCTTTCAGGTTTCTCAAGAAACATCCTTGCTGGTTCATATGCCACAAAACTGTCAAGTCACCCAAATTCGGACGGGGACACTTCCTTTCCGATGGCGGCCACCAATTGCTTTCGGAGCATAGATTCCACATAGTCGACGGCTTGCACCCACTGATGTGCCAGTGTGTTCATGTGCATCAGGGTCAATGATATGCACCCTTCCACTGCAGTGAGGATTCCAGTGTCTCCAGGAAACGAGTTCCGAACATTCTCGTGCTGCTCCTGAGGCTCGCTCAACGACGAAGTGAAAGATTCCGCAGGAGGCGGGTGAAGGGGGACGTGTGACTCGTATGACCGTATGACCCTGTTTCTCACCTATGGTGACTTGCTTGTCGGAGCATGTGGAGGTCTGGACTCATGAATCTGCGCCCTTCGTCGTGGCGCCTTCAAGCTTCTCAGCTGTTCCACCAGCAGGAGATTTCCAGCGGAGGCTGACATCACCAAGGACGGCGGGGCTTCAGCATCACCCTTGGGCAGAGCAGACATCAACGTGTCCTTGGTCAACGCTTGAATGCCCAAGCCGCCACACATGGTCCCACAATTCCTAGCAACATTGGTATATCGGTCCGGTCCTACGCAGGGGACCCACCCTGAAGACATGAGGCTATTGAATGGTCCACTTCGCCAATGCCTTCTTTGAACATAATGGGCACCACTGGGATGAAAACATGGTCCAAAGATAGTGCACTATCATCCATCTTGCGAGGCTGGACCGTTCGCAGGTGATTGATGTAGTCTGCCACATACATGGTCCAATTTGACAAAGCCATGAAGTATTGGTAGGCCTTGTCGAAGTCCTGCCACCGAAAAAGCACAAAGCTGCTGCAAAAAGTGAATCTGCTGAATTTAGATAGCATTGCAGGTCAAACGTATATAATACAAGGCTTTGGCTGTTGAGGCTGCTGTTGACAGAACACTTTGCATACTACCAGTTGCTAGACGCACTCCCAGCCCCATGCTGCAGTATCGCCTGGTTTCGGCGCGGTGTCTTGCAGCTCTTGATGGTGCGATCGATTGAAAAGCCCGGCACTGCCGGGTCAGAGAGAATTCGCAGAAGCCAGCTAATGTTCACCTGTGCGCGCGTGGCGTGGTAAGAGATGTCACATCCCTTGGACCAAGCTGCAAGCTAAGCATGCTTTGACAAAATCTGCGGGACGGAACGTGGACCATTTTCAACATTAAGACGCAGGCATGTCCTGGGCATGTCTTCCCGATACACATCCGCCGACCACCCCATCAACCCACCACACAACCATCTACCTCCCTCACCCTGTACCACAGCTCCGATGGAGATCCTCCGCCACAAAACACTTTTATCAGCACATGGATCCAAAAAATGAACTAGATGAAACTAGCACTGGGCCTTCCCCTGGGCGCTCACTTGCAGCTCCATGTGACTTCATGCAGCTTCCACATCGTTTCTCGCCCCACAAGGCGCCTCTTTGTTCACTGCAGGCGAGCGAACCTCTGGATGCGGCGCCGGCGTCTTGGCGCTGGTCTTGAGTTCCACCTGCGTCCCGGAAGTGCGTTTCACCCGTTTGAGCGATATGGCCATTTCCGGCACAAGAATCAACAACAATGCATCAACAGATGTGAACATACCTGAGAAAGAAGGGGACGAAAGCCAGCGAGAGACCAATATGGTAGTGCAAAACTGGGAGGAAAAAAAACTGCGGAGCATTTATTGTTGAATGCCTGTAGTTTTCGTGGAGCTTGTATCAACGAGAGTAGATCAAGATCGGAGCACAGCATGAAGTGTTGAATGTTTTAGGTTCTCTCGATTTTCCTGGCGCGGTGCTCTCTGGAGCGTCCGTGTTTGGTGGTCTATTTGAGAATCCGTGTTTAAAAACAACGTCAGTGAAGACCAGGAGAAGGATGCCCAAAAGGTGGTTTTTGGTTGTTTTCAAATGTGTTTCGGACATCGTGCATCAATGCGAAGCCCTATAAAAAGCAGGGCTGGGAGAAAAAAAAGAGGAGAGCACTCATTCTTGAATGGTTGTAGTTTTCGTGGAGCTGGTATCACTGCGACTGAGATCAAGATCGGAGCACAGCATGAAGTGTTGAACGCTTCCAGCTTTCTTGCTTCTCCTCTTGCGGCGGCTGTTATCCCCAAGCCTCTACCTTGCCCAACTGGACATACTCACATCGTTCGCTCCCAGAGCGTTCACTCTTTGTTGCTTGGTCCTTCTTGGTGCGATCAGAGCTACACAGTCCCTATGCCCTGCTCAGGACTGGAAAAATTGTCTCCAGACCCCTTCATGATGCACTACTCGACGTCCATTGCATCACTCGCATCACCAGACCCTATTCCCTCGCTTTGGAGCGCTCTCCCCCAGCAAGTTCCGGGTTCACCCTCTCAAAAGGTGCCTTTTCGTACCCTCCCCCCCCCACACCCCCTTAACTCACTTCGTTCGCTCCAAGAGCTCAAGCCTAGCCTATCTATCGGCTGGCTTTCGTAACATATATATATATATATTTATATTTATATGTGTTTATTGTTTTATTATGTTTTATTTATTTATAGCATATTGCATCATATTTGTACAAAAAACATGCCAAAAACTGCCACCATCAAAATCAACCTCACCCCAGGAATAAACCGGCAACTCATTCTCCATAAAAGTTGCACAATGCTTCTTCTCCTATGAGACTTGAGGACCAATCTGAATATGAAGAAATTCCTTGAAACGCTACTAGGGGCTTCTGGCCCTACCACTAGGAACAAGAAGCTACTAGGGGCTCCTGGCATCGCTACTAGGAGCAGGACGTTACTAGGGGCTCCAGATGTTCCGGTCGCATCGAGTCCTCGGCCTGGCCCTGGCGGCTCCAAAGCACCATGCGGTCCGAGGCGTCTGCGCCGACCCCTCGAAACCTGCGCACCAGCTTTGACCCAAATCGGTTTCATGTAGTTTCAATTATATAGCAATTTAAAAAACAAGCATATTAAACGCCCCCTCCGCGTTTGGATTGTGTAAAACCTCTTCATGTGGAATTTTGTAGTCATCAAGAATCTTCATCATGGACGTGATGAGAGGGGAGGTTGGTTACCCCACCATACAAACATGAATGCGTAGGCTGTACAGCCTGCAAAGCATTTTCAGATCAAGCCAGGAAAGTCGATGCATGAGATTCAGGCTGAGGCACGCTTCTAGAACACAGTTGGTCTCAAAGTTCCAGAAGTACTCGGTGATCTTAGTGACCACCTAGGCAAGTCCAAAATGGTGGAGTGACAAAGGCTGATTGTAAAATGATCTATCTTTCAGCCATTCTGCTGGAGAATCTCCCGACCAGCGTCTATAACTTTGCAAATTCAGTTCCTTCATGTTCCTTCTACTTCCATGGTGATTCCACCATTGTCATCAATGTTATAAATTCTATTCGGCTACTATGCGTGCTGACGTCAATACCAAAAGTGAAACCTCCAGTCACACTCCACCCTGCCTTACTTGTAATGGCACTTCGCAAGACTCCACCCACAGACACTTCCTCGACATGCTTCCTGGAACCAGCAGGCCGAGCGGAGTTGAGCAAACTTTGTGGAATTTCCAAGGTTGCTGTAATACTGGAGGGATCTGGAGGAATTTTCTCAGCAGCATCTCTTGCAAAGGGCAACGGATCTTCCGTCTGACAAGCTCCTGGGACCTGAGATGGGCTCAGCCTAACTCCCGAAGACTCCCGATGGACGGAGAAAGCGGTCCTCGGATCCTCTTCTTCCCGGGTCTCTTCGCGAAGATAGCTACAGGACTCTTTCGACTTGAAACGCAATGAGACCTCCTGTCCTGCAGCAGGGCGGGAGCAAAGACAGCTTTGGGCAGGTCGATCAAAGTGAGGTGAAGGCGGTGACGGTGGTGAGTACGGGAAGCTGTGAGCTTTTAAATTTTAAGCTGTTGTGAAAACAGTCTTGCTGGGGACAACTAATTAAGAGCCTCAGCCTCCAACGCTTCGTTCGCAACCACTCCTGAGGCCCACTGCTTCAAGGTCGCCAGCTGCTCTGGGCCTACACCCAACAGCCCTAAGCAGTTCAGCTCGGCAGCCGCGGCCAAATTCGTCGCCCGCTCCACCAGCAAGTACTTGTCCTCTTGTGCATTGTGTGCCCAGAATCGATAAATATTACGAACTCATTTCTTTGCGGAATCGGGGGTCCAACAATGTGAGTGGTCAACAGTCATGAATTTGTGACGGCTTTTTTTCACGAAAATTCATAGCAGGGGAAGCTCACTCTGGCTCCGCGCGCAGCTTTCAAAACGGCTGCCCAGAAACAAACAGCGCCAGCGAGACCTTCAAACAAAGAGTAAGGCCTGTCTGCTAAAGGATGTAGTTCATCACGATGCTCAACACAGAAAACGGCAAAGTGCTTGGCGCGGTTCAGCCAAAGTTCCCCCCTGAAGGCTGAGCATGGCCAAGCCATTCCCAGGTGCCCCATGACAAAGACCAAGGCCTTTCTTCAGCAAACCACGGCGCCAAATCACTTCACCAAACTGCTGAGCCAACTCCTGGTATCGGACGGCAGATTTCGGATGGTGCTCGGCCAGGCGCAGGGCCAAGGAGATCATGCCCGTAGCCCCATGACAGAACTGGACTAGCCGGTCTTTGCCATTGCCCAGTGATGAAGGCATGTTGCCTTACATGCTAAGTCGATCATCTTCAAGATTGCCAAAACATGCCAAAACTAAGTAAACTAGTAAACGTTGTCACACCACAGTTCCGAAGTCCATTCTCAGCGATTGAGGTACTATGTCCAATCAAGTTGCTACAGGCTACTAACCCACAACTGCTGCCACAACTTCACATATGAAAAAATTGTCAAACAATATACAGTATTCAAAGTACGTACTTCCTCTGATGCAAGACAAGCTACCACTTCGGAAGCAGCACTCGAACAACTTCTCAGCCGTTTTCTGCAGCAAGTCAGGGGCATCCGGCCTTGCCAGGGCCACTTCAGCAGGCAACTGCAACAAGGTTTGGAGGATTCCAGCAATGCCATGGGCACCGCCTAGGTAGCACTTCTCGTGCCATTCGTAGTACAATGGCCATCCACCTTTCGCGTGCGTCTGCCCAGATTCCAGCACCTGCTGCACCAATTCAGCTGCAGGCGCTGCCAGCAGCTTGGGATCTCCCAATTTTTGGCGCACCAGCAGTACAGCCCCTAGAAATCCAGACCGGCCGTACAAGACCTGCATGCTGAAAACAAGGCTGTTCAACTGTTCAATGCTCAACTTGAGCGGTCAGTGCCTTACCGCCTTACCTCACTCAAACCTCCGAACATTCTCGCCTCCCACCTCACACTCAGTCTCTGGAAGCAGGGCAGCGCGCTCTGCTAAGGTTGCCAAGCGCTGGATGCACTCTTGCACTTGAACAGGTTGCTCCAAAAGGTGGTAGGCCCAAGCCTTCCTGGCAGAGGTAGCGAACAAGGGGAGGGAATGACTACGTCGATTACGTTACCATGAAACAACAGTTCTGTTTGACTAGTTTTTGACGCCGGCGGAGCCAGGAAGGTAGTAGCAATGTACTATGAACCAATACTGAATCACGCTAGGTGGTGTTGTTATGTTGTTTCATAACTAACCACATTCAGAAGAAACGAAAACCTTGACAATATTGGAAGTCTCGGCCTGGTCTGTTTTTCACCTGAGATCCTCCCAATGTCCCCTAATTTGCTACATGATAAGCATGCTTCCGGGCTTCAAAGCCACGCAGCCTGCAGGGCCTTCCAACAAGGTCACCCTCCGAGCGTCGCACATGGCTTCCGCCTCTTCCAAGCGCCGCAGGGCCTCCTCGCTCGCCGCCCGAGCGTCGCTCTCGAGGCCGCTGCTGGCGAGGTCCAGTAGCAGGTAGGCCACCCCCGCGGCACCGGTGTAAAGACTACCTCGGATAACGGTGGATGGACTGAAAATGAGAATGCTTGGAGATGCTTCGTTACATTGTCAAGCACTAATTGGAAGACTTCATGGGGGAGGACAAGGGCTTGCCATGGGCATCTTCCGAAAACTGGACATGATGTCCTCTCATCAACTGCCACACCTACCCCCCCCCAGGGCGTGAAAGCTAGAACTACAAAAGGCCTTGTTCTTGGAACCAGCCACCCTTGGAGTGTCTGGCTTCTAGTAGCTTCTTCTTCGCCTGGGAAATCTCCCGCAAGAGCTTGGTCTCCCACTCCGCTGGTGCGACAGCATCATCCATGGCATGCCGGAAATGGCGTCCATCTTCGACATCCATGGCTCGCACAAACACACTGCTGTACACCCAGGTGGTCCAAGAAAACACTCTTGGTCGTTTAGGGAACAAGTTCCCGCATGTCCTCAACAAGTCTCAGGTGGTGCGAGAAACAAGCAGCAAAGGCCCATGCTAGTTCCTTTATTTTAGATAGTGGGCTTGCACTCACAAGTCCCCCCGATGAGTTTCAGTAGACCAGCCTTACATGGTGGGCGGATGCAGCTTGGCTCGTCATCTACTACTTCTGAGTTAAGAACCGACGAGCCTTCAAAGAAGAATAGCACTGATCCGTGCTAAAGAAGTACAATGGATGTATACGTGGTCTGAAACCTTCCAAACTGCAGAGCTGCTTCACATGCTGTCTTGACGTCAAATTGACATTTTCGCAAAACATTCCCATCCTCGTACTGGTGATGCACATCACCTGCCAAAAGTCGGGAAAGCCCGTCGGCACAATTACTTGGTCCACATCACTCTTGCATTGGCAAGTGGTATGGCTTCAGTATGCCAATTTGCTCCCCAAAAGGGCAAGTATAGAGTTTTGCAATATCTTTGGAACATGTTTCCTATAGGACTTTTTGCATTGTCCCTGTGACCTTTGTCGTGGCATTTCGCCTTTCATCCCACGTCGCCTGCGATCTGCGGTGACTTTTCGGCGCCCAGGATCTGCTTGACCTTCCTCAGCTTCGCCCCAGACCAGCAGTGCCCTAGTTGTTCCTTGGGGTATCGGTATGACCTTCAGATCCATGGGTCAGCCATGAATCCAAAAGGGTGGATAATTATATAGATGGTCAAACATGCATCCTCATATTATCTGCAGTTCGCCTTTCAGGTCATGTGAACCTAGGCTCAAGTAACATCAAGTAACCTCCCCCTATTAATCAAGCCTAGCTCGAGCCCCGAAAACTAAACTAATTTAAAACTGAATTCCACATGTCCATCACCCTTATAGTTGTTTCTTGGCAGAAACCTCCCCCTATTAATCAAGCCCATCTGCCCCTGGAAAAAACAAAGTATATAATTCATTGTATACAATTCATTAGTATATTGTTTAAAGCTGCCATCTAAGCTGCCAATGTTCTCCCCAGCAATCTTTGTCCACTATCCCTAAGAACCTCTCTAGCAAAATTCTGCCATGTTCCCTCGGTAAACTCTATCAAAATCTTAACGTTTTCTAGCTCACAAAGGGTACCCCTCTCACAGGCCTCAGCGTTCACACAGAATCCTATCAACCATCATCCATCATCAGGTCATCACCTTTATTAGCAGGATGTGGTCTCCAATTCCTCCAATCTCAAACCTTGTTGACACCTTGAATTGAAGGGCGGGTTGATTAATCCTACGTCGGCATTAACAACAAGTGGCGTGTACAGAGTACATGCATATACAAATGACCACAGATTAAAGACAGGATGCCCCGAAGAAGACCGAGAAAAGGGAAAGTCATCTATGTGGGACTTGCGGCTTGCGTGTTTTTTTGAACCACGCTCACCGGTGTCATCAGGGGAAGCTGTCCAAGTCTCTCAAGAGCATTGTCGATTTTCGCCTCGATGCTTTGGCGCTGCAATTGCAAAGCCATGGCGACAGAATCTGGAATTGCTGAATTGGAGTTGAAGTCCTGAGGGGCCCTGAGGAGAGCTAAGTGAGAACAATCTCTCTGCTGAAAGTGGCTGGAGCCAGACCGGCCAAAGCACAACAGTAGAAATCGGAGTTGCGCAACCGCTGAGAGGCCACCAAGGGAGCCAAAGCCAGGCTACAGATTATGGATGCACCTTACATCGCTTGGCGGATTCTTTTCAGCATTGACACTGACCGGCCTTTGAAGCGAGTTCTCCAGGATGCTTGCAAGCCTTGCTCACTGAGCTCTGAAAGCATTGCGGCCGTTTCCAAACGCCTCAGGAATCAGCGCCTTTGTTGGAGTTCAGAACTAGAAATCTTCAGTGCCAAATGAGGTTGATCAATCCATCCGTATCGGCACAGTCTGTACATGAGTCTCAAGTCACAGAAGGCTACAAAATAAAAGGTCTCCATCTCCATCCGAGCCGTTTGCAATGCACTCTGGGAACCTTTGAAAAGTGCTCTCATCACGTCTCATCGAAATTTCTTACCCCACATGCCACACAAATGTTTGCGCCTGCCACCTGTGGCATAAGCTTTCACGGCGATGCTCTTGGTGACAGTGTCCTGCTGCTGGCTCTTCTCATACCTGTCAGTGGAGGTGTGGCATCCAAACCATTTTTTCTGCGCATGTTCATCATGTGCTCTCATGAAGGCCCTGATCGAATGCAGAACTTCTCTGCTTCATCCAAGCTTCAAAGAGATTGCAAACTGCCACTTGCCCCGGTCATCACAAGCGCACATCACTGCATTGTAGGTGATCAAGTTTGCAACCTGCGAACATGCAACGACTGGCACTGGGCAAGCCAAGGGCAAGCCAAAGCTGTAATAAGGTTAATAAAGGCTTGTTTGGTGGATAATTTGCGTGCTGCAACCTTGGCTCTCCAACTCATATCAAGAAGCACAGCGGCACAGTGGGTATCAGAGGGCCAAGCCGGACCAAGTAGAGTTCCTACTCACATTAATTCTCATCCGATGCTTCAACATCTCTATCAATCCTGTATATAGTAAATAACGCACAAAATGACTGTTGCACCGTGCACCTGATCCCGCTCAAAAGGAAGCCGCTTTCCATTAATTAAGTCCCCTTCCTTCACTTCAACCGTGCAGTCATGCATCACCTCGTCAATTCTGACCTTCGGTCAAGCAGCATGGCCATTGTTGCAAAGCTCCCGCAAAAAGTTTAAGGACCATTGCCAGCGTCCAGCCACATGGCATGCACCAATCGCAACACCTGTGACTGCACAAGTGTCCTGTTGTAATAAATGCACATAGAGTTTGACAGACTCCCCCCCGCACGGATTAATCTGCGTGTTTATCTGTTCAATGTCCACTGCCTCCCAGTTGGCATCTGGTTGCATAAAAGTTGGCAATGCTTCGTATGACAAAGCTAGACAGAACATGACAGGAACTCTGAGCATAGAGTTTAACTGCTTCAAAAAAAATCAGGATCCATAGCTACATTGGCTGAAAATCTTAGGCTATGCGGCATGGCCCAAAGATATCCAAACTTTGCTCAGACCAACGTATCATCAAACACCCCATTGCTTTGCCGAGTAGCTGTAAGTGATGACATTCAATGCCAGATTTAATGCTCGCAGTTCCGCTAGTAAGGCTAAGGCCTTCAAAGTGCAGACAAGCAATGGGAACAAAACCAAAACATCAATTTAGGGAACTTAGCACGCACGACCCTGGGCCTTTCTGTCTGCAAAAGGAGTTCTGTCGACTCGCGATGGCCTTTCATGGACTATGTCCGCCCAGGCCACCCCAGCCTCCTGCCAATGCTCGCCCCTATGCCAGGCACTCATGGCAATGTTGTAACTAATGAGGCCATCATGACCTTGTCTTGGAGAGAAGCTGGTTTCCAGAACATGCAAGTGAGCGCACCCGTGTTAACAAATGCCCATGTTCTCTGTTGGGCCAGGCACAATTGCCGGCTCCTTATGATCTCGCAAAACCAGTAGCTCACGCAGCAACATCAAAAGCAAGATGAACGCAAGTCTCGCAAATCTGAATGATGTCTGTCTATGTTGCATGTCTGTCAAACTTCAGCACCCCAGCAGCAGATTGTCAAAAAGTAATTCGACCTGTATATCTGGCCAGAACCAGCAGGTAGCCAACACCAGTCGAGTTACATTGATCAAAGAGGTGCACCGCCAGTACCCATTGACTTCCCTTTTCGCAAGCACTGGCAGCCTAGGCAGCGCGTTATGCTGACACAAGTTTGTAAGCCATCTTTGTGAGCTTCAGCGGCTACTGGAGGCTTGCTGGCCTTTTCGTGAGCTTCATACTCTAATGCCCCCAGTTTTCTTCCCCAAATGAAGAGCCGAGCCAAGCCTGACTGCATAGCAAATCAAAAAAACAGCAAACCGCAGCAACCTTGTGCCCTCTCATCTTGCCTTATCCAAGCAACAGCATTGAAGGCTCCAGCCTGTGGGGCTGCGGTCAACAGCTCCATGGCGTAGGGCCACGGAGCACCACGGCAGGCCGAGATAGTTGCGCAGTAGGAGACGATGTCGGCTTCCAAGCGCCTCATATGGCTGACCCATGACACCATGTGAAGTAGTGCTCCAAGGTAGACATGGAGGCAGTGTTGCAGTCAACTCCCATTTTGGCCAAGGTACTCCAGGAAAAGGGTCTGCAACAAGCTAAGTGCTTCTTGCCACCGACTGCCTGACCGAGTGCATCCGAGTGGGAGCTTTCCCCACAGAAACACCACACCATGGCGACCCACAGGCCTTTCTCACAGGCACTGATGGTTGCATTGTAGGCGACAAGGTCCAGTTTCAAGTTTCCATGGATGTCTTCAAAGATCAACAAGGCACGCTGCCACTCCTGGTGAATTTGCACAATTCATCTGCTTGCACTGCAGCACCAGGAGGGAAACAAACAGTAACGTACCCCACCCCACACACACACACACATCACAAATGTTCCACTTACAATGAGTGCCGGACTCCCTAACTCTTTAAAGGGGAAGCAACTCTAGGTGTTTCTCTGCCCCGTACCCACCCGCCTCACATTTTTCACACGCACTCAGAACTGCGCTGAAAAAGATCACGTCCAGCTGCAATTGCGCTGCCGTCGCTTCTTCCAAAAGCTGGAGGGCCTGCTGGGCTTGGCTAGAGTGCTGGTTGAGTATGGCCTCCAACCTACTAGCGGACTAGCGATGGCCTCCAACCTACTAGCGATGGCCTCCAACCTGATAGCACTGAATGAAGGCTAAGAATGAAACCCCTCAATCCTATCAGAATCACGTCTTGATTTCCAGCTCGATGGGCGGTGTTGCTGCCTACCAAACAATTGGACCAAGAATGCAAATGCATAATTAGCTGCAAATGCTGGAGATGCTCATCACTTCCACCACAATAGTAATAGGCTGCACC